GAGCAGCAGGCAAGGTGATTGGCTGTTGGGAGTCACGTGCTCCCAGCATGGGCCCCAGCAAGCCAGGTAAAGAGACTCTGTGTGTGTGTGTGTGTGTGCGCGCGCGCGTGCGTACATGCACACACTGCTTGGGCAACAGGGCTGGGGGGGGCAGGGGCTGTGGGAGCAGAGTGCTGGACACCAGCAAGGCTGGAGGTGGGGGGCAGTGGGCTGTGGGTTGGGAGTGAGGGGCACTAGCAGGGCTGGGAGACAGAGGGCTGTGGGTTCAAAGTGCAGGGCACCGGCAGGGTTGGGGGGCAGGGGCCTGTGGGTTGGGAGTGTGGGGGCTGGCAGGGCTGGGGGAGCAGGGGCTTAGGAGTAAGGGGCAAAGGCAAGGCATGGGTATATCACTGCCTTCCTACAATCATATTCCTCTCCCCCAGGTGTTCTCTTTTCTGCTGCTAGAAATATGGTAACCCTAATCATAGAAGATATACATGCAGGGTATACATTTAAAATAAAGAAGATTTAAGATAAAGAAGATTCATTAGTAAAGGGAAAACAGCATGGCATAAAGTCCTCAAAGGGAATTTACAAAGCACCTTTCACAGATGAGCCTATGATCTTTACTTCATCAACTTCCTGGATAAAAAAATCATGGAGTAAATATAGACATTGGATTTATGACACAGTATAACCTGCCTAACATCTGACACCCCAGGTAACATCTCTACTATTTACCATCTATATTCTTATCACCAGGTCTATATTCTCCTTCCCCCGCTCCCTCACTACCTGTCTCTCAACCACTGACTGCCTCAATTAGTTGGAGAAGTGCTGAAGACTCAGAGGGGAGGGGAGCCCGGGGTCCAAGGGGAGTGGTCGCTCCTTAAGGAGATGGTCCTCCAAGCCCAGAGGAAGGTAATCCCCAGGAGGGTCAAAGGGGGCAGGAGAGCATATAAGCCTCCATGACTCACTAAAAACATCCGGGAATGTCTTCTTGCCAAAAAGGAGACTTACTCCTAATGGAAAGGAGGGGTCATCACTAAGGAGGACTATTCTGCAGTTGCTTGGGTATGTAGGGGGATGGTTAGGAAGGCCAAGGCAGAGATGGAACAGGGGCTGGCTTCCCGGAT